ACGAAAATTATTATTATGTATAGTATAGCTATCTTTTAAAAATGGGTTCTTTTTGGATAATTTTTTTAAAAAATACTTAATATTTAAACTTTATTAAAAAAACTAGTATTAAAAGTACGAGCATAGGTTAAATTTGATTGTTGAGTAGAACATTTTTGTTGTGTGAGAAGTTGTTTCTTGGGTTTTACTATCTTTGTCACTACACCGCCTAGAATATTATTTTGATTTTGTTATTCCCTCCGCTTTCATAATGCATTTATTTAGCCTTTGTTCTTGACACTTGTATCTCACAATATAACCTTGATAATAAAAACCAATTAATGTATGATTTCCGAAGAAAGATCAACAACATGTTACAAACGAAACATGTGATCTGTGGATTTGTAAAATAAACAAAAACAATAGTTAGTTCAAAATTGTTTGCAATGTAAATATAATAATAACGCTGACGTTTCTATATATTCCATGGCTTTATAGTTTTGTATTACAACACGTTTGGATGTCTACAATTGTGTCTTCATCTCTTGCTTTTTTTTATTACTTTATTTTCTGTTTGGTCTACGTCTCTTCCTTTTCCAATGTAATGAAAACATAGCTACCTAAAGAGAAAAAATCAAAACGATTAAAAAAATACTATATTTAAGAACAATGCATACATCAATCTTCAAGGAACAATAATTTGGCTTGGGAGTTGGGACCAAGCTAGAGATTAAAATTAATTGAAGTTCTAACAGGCATAGAGGGAGATGAAGCTAAAGCAAACGAAGAAGAAGCAATTACCTTCCAGAAGACATCACAAGTAACAACGTCTTGTATGTTTCAATATTCGATCAGTATACAATTTTTGAAAGACATATGTATTTACGTTGGAGGAAATAAATTTGAGATTAATATAAAAAACATCAATAATAATAATTAGTTATGCTCGTGTGCGTGAGCAAAAAATGCATAGTCTAAATGACTAAATGAAACAAATTGCATTAAATAAAGGACTAACCGTGTCATTGTTCTCTCTTTTGTGGTCGATTCTCCTGTGTCAAAAACAAAGAGAACTGAAGTATTTATTATTGCTAAATTCATATTCCCATTGGAATATAAATGATAACTCATGAAACAAACGAAGATTTGAAGAAGGTTTATACTTCTATATATCTGGAAAGAATGAAACTACTCAATGTCAATTGTTTGTAAAATGGGAAGTTTGTAAAAACAAAGTGACAGACTTTAAAGAAATGCACATAAGGTAGAAATACCTATTTTTGTCTGCTTCAATCTTCAGATTCTTCAGAAAGTTGGTGAAAATTTAAAATCTGAATTAAGGGAAAAAACAAAAATTGCAGGATAAAGATTGACAAAACAAAAACCAAATGGAGCGAGATGGGCAATGATATCGTGATTTGGAAAATATATAAGAGCAATGAAATTTAAGTTTTTCTTGTAGAAAAGGAAGTGGAGATCGTGGGACAAAAAGGTGGAGGACGTTAGATTTTCTTTTAAATGTAGAATTTTAATATTAATTAATTAGATAAATAGAAATTTAAAATTTTAAAAACTGAGAAATTGACACCTATTAAAAAATCTGAAATGTCAACATGAAAGCAATTTTAGGAGTCCCTATCTAACTTGTGTTTTATAAGATAAGGGATATGGGTTAAATAGTGCATGTATCTGTCTTGGCGAAAAAAAAAAAAGAAGTGAATGTCAATATACGAGGCAGTACTATACAAAACGTATTAACGTGCGTTATTATACTATTTGGATATATTTGTTTAGATTTATATCATGTAGATGCAAGATGTAATAGTTTGACTTGTCAAAACAATGGTGAAGAACATGCCAAATATTGATGTGTTATTTAACTTTGCTATGCATATCATATGTAGTTTATTCATATAGTACTACTACTATTGTGGCTATATAATTTGATGGTTAAGTTAAATTAACAAACGACATAAAAGTCAACGGATGATCAAAGAGCATATTCAGCTGATCCAGCCCAAGAACTGAGTTTACATAAATACCCTTCTATTCTTCTATTTATTGTGTGTGAAAACGACTAACACGTCCTCGCCGACGCATGAGTAGCAAAACTAAACAAGTTTTTTTTTATAAAAGGAGAATTAATAAAAATAGGCCAAATTTTATAGAAAATTTAAGAAGTACACCAAATCTTATTAAATTAAAATCTTAGTTTTTTTACAGTATATCTCAAAACTACAACAAAAGAGAGAATAAAATGCTTCTCTTCAAATACTTGCAATCCTAAAGCTACACAACACAAAAAACATTTAGAAAACAGAGATTCACACATCAATTTTTCCAAATTGAGAACACAAAAAAAAAGATAAACTTTTTTACCCAATTGCCTTATAAAAAAAGTTTTTTTTTTTTTTTAATCATTTCTTGTATTAAAATACTGATATGATATGTTATTACATTGACTCAGAAAGATAGAGTTAGTAATACCACAAGCAAAATCGTGGATTTTTTTTTTAAAACAGAAATTTTAATTATAAGACGACAAAGTTCCATGAATTTTTTAAATTGTAACATTAAAATGCTGTGAATATCAATAGTTTTCTCATCAAACCATACGATTAATAGACCTATAATCTCGAAATGATTCAATCATGCTACCAAAGTATTAAGTACATTCTAACACGTAAAGGGTAGTTTTGACTTTCATATACTACCTCCACAAGTCCATTATGATTCGTGAACATGCCTCGTCTTGTAGTTTAATATAAATCTCTGCCTAACTCATCGGCTCTTA